AAGGGCCTAAATCCGCCTTCCTACCTTAAAATGAAATCATATTTGTGTCATCTTTCCAAATCTCGTATTTACACCACCTTTTACCTCAGAGCAACACATATTGCAACTAAAAACACATAACTTATTTTGGTCTGTTGAGCTTTAAAGTGACTCATCTCCAATTTTAATCGACGGAAAGCTTACCTTTTAAACACGAAGGCCTCATATGTCACCTATTTTACAGTTCCTCTACAAAGCTTCTCTCTTCATCGCTTTCTTCTGAGTCACTAACGAAGGTCAGACCGTGGGGTCTTGGGTGTCTTGGGGTCGTGGGTGTACTTGTCTGCCATGCAGAAGTACACTTCTGTGCAAGCAAGTCCTGTGTTGCTGCAGGACAGTTTTGCTGGCAGGTAGATGTCTTGTACTTGCACGTCATCAGCTCAAGAATGCTAACTGGCGCTGGTGCATTTGTGATTGGCAGTAGTATGAGAAGTTCCCCGTCCCTCATCCATCCATGACCCTCCGGTGATCCAAGATCCTGCATAGCTTCAAGAGCACGACTCCACCCGAATGCTTGGTTGTATAAATGTTCCAGATGTTGAAGAAGCCAATCAGTTGTGGATGGAAGCATTTCGTTTTTTTGTTTATTCTGGCAGAACATGAGATAACATAATTCATCTAGAATGCTTGTCTTTTTTGTGGTCATGTATAAGTTGCAAACATAGGCTTCGCTTCTTTCATCTGGAATGCTTGTCTTTTTTGTGGTCATGTATAAGCTGCAAACATGGGCCTTCCTTTTTCCAAGTCTGCAGAGAGCAACCGACAAGAAATTGCACAGGTTTACCAAGTGTCAAAAATGAAGCATTCAGGTTTAAAAATGGATCCAAAGGGAAAGCTCAAACGTACATCAAACGCAACGAATGTCAAAAGCTACAACTATAGATTGCTGGCAACGAAACTAGACATCTATGGCGGAATTAAAACATGTTGAACTAAATAGTTCAAGCCATACCTTGTTTTTTGGATTGGAAATATATTTCCCCATTATCTTGGTACTGGAGAGGAAGGACCTCCGATTAGCACTTGGAGGTCAATGAATGTTCCCCTTCGTTGACACTTACCTCCTTTAATAAAGTCACTCAGTATTGGTTAAAGACAAGGTGGACTTGCAGACAGTTTTTAGAAAAGAGCGAGCGCAGAAGATTTGGTCATCTTTGGAACCGCCATACCCTTGGTAATAACAACCTTTCGATTTCAGCTGCTGAACTGTGTGAACGTCTTTTTCTAGAAGAGAGCATAGCGTGCTCTTAACACCTTTTGTAAGACTTCCGCTAGTGAATGAATACGGGATTGAAGACAGTTTGAAGCTCACCACATCTTTTAGGCAAATTGGATGCGATGAGGAGCCTGACAAACACGTCCTTGTTGGGGTGAACAGTAATTAGCTTATTGCTGGATTTGACTTCGAGCTTCTTACTTGCGCTACTGAGACTTTGGATCTTGATGTTTGGAATCGGGAACCCTAGCAGGGAGACAAAATATAAAGTTGTGTTGTTATAAAGCTTAAATCACTAAGTAGAAAACTGTGAGTAGAAGGATTTACATTGCTTGTGTAAATTGACGACTTCAACTTACATAAGTTTCTCCTCCTGTTTGTAAGCCATACTATAAACAACTCAATAACCTTAACCGCTTGGTCGTTATGGGAAAATCTCAAGCCGCAGGTCAGCGGTATTGAGCTTGCTATTGCTCAATCAATATGTCAAGCCTTAGTTTCAGATTTTCCCATGAGTACCTAACTCTCGTTTATTAAGTAGTTAACATTTAACAATTTAAGCGGCAGTGAATGTTGTTGAATATTCCTCAAGACATAGACAATGGGAGACTGAGGCAGATAGTTGCTTTTGTATAATTATACTAAAGTGTTTTCGAATTCTGTTGAAAATTTGTTTTGTAAACTGAAAATTTTCAATTCTGTGACAATAATTTGGATTACTTGTATTGGGATAAGTAGCCATTTTTTATTTATATTTGAATTATTGTGTCCGTATTACTATTTCTATTTTCATGTATTTTTGTGACAAATTAAATACATAAGTAATTTATAAATAAGGTTTGTAATGGAGGAATTCCGCAAATTCCCTCTGCAACGTGGACGTACTCTTGATAGACATAAAGAGTGAGACAGGTAGTGATGATTAGAAACTAATTCTTTGGTTGAAAGTTTGGTTATTTCAAGCTTCTTTCTATTAATTCGCCCTATTTATTGGTTTGGGTATCCTTTCAGTTACTTTAACATAATGCAAGGACTCCAAAAAGTGTGTCATTTAAAGCGAAAAGGCTTCTGAGGGAATTGGAATTTTTTCAAGTTTTGACGAATTTGCATGTAGTTGAAAACAGAAACTAAAGGTTGCCCTTCCTAGAAAGGAAAGTTATGGGCTGTTTTACCTTAGTATTCAAGCCTATGTTGCTTAATCTTGCAACCAGTGTATCTTGTGCAAGACATTTTTTCCTCTGTCCGAAGACTAAAAACTCGTTTTTGTGTAACAGTAACGCTGGAGTGGTTTATTAACCAAGCAATGTTAAACAGTCAGAAAGAAGTAAAAGACATACTTTCTTTTCTTGACGTTTTTAATAAACTTTCTGATCATACACGGAAGGAGGCAGACAAGCTGGAAACATACAAAGTGCAGCCGAAGAGTTGAACATGGGCAACCGCGAACAAATACAGTGAGAAGCAGGGTGGAAGCTTGGACCTGGAACCACCCATTTGTACAAACCCAGCGGCCCTGACCACCTGTCCACTCTGCCTCCACCAGATGCTTAAAAACCTGCTATACAAGAAAAGAGTTAAGTTTAACTAAGCTGCCTTTACAAGTTGAGTGGTAAACGGGTTGTAGAAAGAGGCTATGGAGGGAAGCTTGGTATAGCTTACAGTTTGCCTTTCTCCAGGATGAACAAGGGAAGCCGTATGTAACACTGACACACGACAAGATGATGAAAAACCACCTAGGCAGACTTCAAGGCAAGTTAGCCACATGAAAGCGATCTGAATGCTAGAAATACAGAATGATACAGATGGCCACAGGGCTTTAAGGCTGTACATTTCAAAGGTATTCCAAAGAGTGATGTTTTGTTTTCTTGTTCCAAGCGTAACTGGAGTAAAATGCGTACTGTTAACAACATCTGGAGCCCGTTTCTTGAAAGTCTCGATAACTTAACAAGCCCAAAGTCATATTTTAAAATAAAAATTTAAAGAACAGAGGAGCAGGTTCTGGAATCCTAACCAGTCCATTTTATTCCTTGAGCAAAGTTTTATTGTATAAGAGTACAAAGGTAGTGCTTACCATGGTCTACAAAAACCACATTGATAGCGCCACAACTAATATACTTTGCTTTCTCAAGCCGGTTTGAGCAGTCGCCAAATTTACCTATTTCGGGCCACAGAAACTCGATCAGTCTGCAATGCACTTCGATTTTCGCCCTTCATTAGCTGAGAAAATGTGGCAATGTTTTGTCGATGGTTTCAAAGTCGCAAAAACTCACCCCAATAGTCTTTGCAACACTTTTAACCTTTCCGTCAGATTCATAGCAGTCGAAGCGGACAGTCATTTAACAGCCTTCATGATCATTGATCACCATCAGCATGTCCAGCCACTGTAATATCCGTTTGATTGAATATCACTTTGCTTTGATTTAGGTTTTCAGCCAATGAAAATAAGGCCTATCGATATAAAGGGGAAATGTTTTGAAAAAACTTGTTTTCAATCAGGTAGTTCCCCCCAAGTTTAGTCGTTGATATTATAGATACATGGAAGAAATTTCCTGGACGGTTGGTGAGTCATGTTATACACTGCACCTCTTAACTCCAAAACGTTTTCCTATCAGTGGAAAAAGTGTCACGTGCCATGGGCAAAACTCATTGAAAGCTCTGATGCATCAGACAATTTTTTTCCATAAGGGTGCATTTTTTTTCCACAATCATTTCAAGCCCTACAAATTTCAATCAAGTAAATCAATTTTTGATCGCACTTTAAGAGAGTCTATTCACACAGAAGCCCACCAAAATATTTAATTTTTACGAAAAAAAAAAGAATAAGACATAAGTAATAATTATCATGGCGATGCAGCACTTTCCATAAAGAATTATAATAGACATGTAAACATAAGCTTTCTTACTAACAGAACCCAAAGAAAGGTGTTCAATTTCAATGTAATTGACACTGTGCTTATCAAATATTTAGTTGATTGCGAGTGTGCACTTGATAAAAAAATTTATTTGTTGAAATAAGTAGTTTACATTCTATCGCCCTTGCGAAGTTGAAATACTTAACACAATTATAATTTATTCAGCCTGTTTCAGACTCTCGGGAAGTAAAACGAAGCACAATAGTATGAACACAACCTGACCGAAATCTCCCTTGTTTTTCACTCTTAATTTGATCAAGGGAGGCTCTGTTCTTTAAAAAATAAGGAAATAAAATAAGGAATAAATAAGGAATGTCATAGATTCAAATTAGGCTCTCGCTTTTTTGCGGGATGAGACCTTCTCACATGTACTTGTCTAGGGCACAGTTGCACTTGTCTTCCGGCTCAAAATGAAGGATTTTCACTTGAAATTCTGTTCGAGCGACAATGTTTTTACGTTCGATAACAAGTATAGTTGGCTGTCTCCTTGTAACGACATAGTTGGTGTCCTTTTCCTTGCTGCAGTAGTGCCATTGTTTTTCAGCGTGCAATGTGTGAGTTGGAGTATTTTGCTTTTAGTCAGCATTCTAACCATGGTCGGATGGCTTTCTGCAATTTTTCACCACAAAAACCTTATATTTTCTAACCAAGGTTACTCCATGGATTGATACTAAATTAACTCACACACGATTAGTCCGTGCGTGTTGCATTATCATGCACCCTCTATACTTTTACAAGAGGTTATGATTTATAACCAGGGGGAATGTATGAGCCATGAAATAAACAGAGATTAAGATTTTGATTTGATATACATTTTTAGACAAACCCGAAGGTGCAAGGCTCACTACCAATGCTTCACAAAATACTGTCACTGAAGGAGACACTGTTACATTTAAGTGCATAGTTATGGCTGCTGTGCCTCAAGTGTCAATTTACAAGTTCTATTTCAATGGCCGCCTCCTAAGTAATAACAACAACAGTGAGTATACTCTCAATGACGTCAATCGATCTCAGCACTATGGCAAGTACAAATGTGTCCCACATAATGATGTTGGAGACGGAGTAGAAGCCACTGTGAGGCTTTACATAAATGGTGGGTAGAAACATCTTTGAGTATTTTTGAATACTTTGTAATTATAATCCGAAATGGGAAAAACGTTTTTTACCAGTTTACTTGCATCAATAAAAATTTCCACACTGCGAATTATTACCCGCTGTAGGCTTTTCCTGGGAGTAATGGGAATGAATAAAGAATTTAAGGTGGGTGAGGGGAAGGAGAAAAAAGTCTGGGACGAGGCACATTTTGTGTGGCTTTACAAACATCTTTGCATTGCTCTTCAGCTAAAGAGGCGTCTCCTTCGCAAGCGTTTCTCAGCTTTCCACACAATGCTCCCACCCTAGGTACCTTGGAAAAGTGCTGCGAAATGAGGCCTGTCTTGAAAAATGTTACCAGTGCCTAATGATAAATGGGTGCCTAATAGCAAAAGTTGTGCCGGATGATAATAAACTGGTGCCTTATGGTGATAGACTTGTACCTAATAATGTTAGACAGGTGCCTAATATTGATGAGCTGGTGCCTAACAATGATGAACAGGTGCCTAATGATAAAAACCAATGCCTAATTATGATGAACTTGTACCTTATAATACGGAAACAAGCCTAATAATGATTGACAAGTGCATGATAGAAACAAAAAAATGATATTGTGGAAATGGCATCCCATGGTTACCCTAGATTGTTTTCAGACACAAGAAGTCTGTAAGTTTGTGTAGCTTTATGGGAGCATTTCAATGTCGCACATTAACGTGTAGCAAAAATCCTGGAATTTAGGCACAAGTTTGAGATTAACTCCAGGTCTGATTTTATTTTTTTGGTTAAAAAAAACCAGGACATTATTCAAGAGCAATTATCTTGTGTCTGCCAAAAACTGTGAATTTCTTGTTTGTTTCCATTTTTTGATTTTTTTTATGTATGTGCTACATTTTACAATCTTATTTCTATAGCGTTTGAAGTAGATAGTTTTGAACCAAATTTCACTCTGTTATGGTGTGAAAATTTTGTTGTTTCTCTCTTCTTACCTAGTTCCTGTCCAGTTTACAGAAGTGCCACAGAATATAACAGTTAATGCGTCAACTCCTATGTTTTTGAGTTGTGATGCCTCGGGTTTTCCTGAACCTAAGATAAGATGGGAAAAATCTGAGATTAAACTGTCTGACACCAAACAGTTGAACATCTCCAGTAGTAACAGGAATGATGCGGGAGAATATGTTTGCATCGCAAGCAATGGAGGGAGACAAGAAAAGACAGTAAGAGTTTATGTCACTGTGCAATGTAAGTCTTTATTTCAGTCTGTCATAAAAAGCTGCCACTGCTGCTGAATCCATAATACAGTCGAACCTATAAGCGGTCACCCTGTATTTAGTGGCCAGTTGTTAAAGTCTCCAACTTCTTTTCTCCTTAATCGCTGTTGTCACCTTTGAGTGAGTGACAACCACCTGTTTGTATTGTCTTCCACCTGTAATGATCAGTCTCATAGAAAGGAACCATTCAATTAAAACTATGATTTTTGTAGTAAAATTTAATCTATGTTTCTCTCCCGAAATTAATGTTAGTAATATTTTAACGAGTTTTTTTTTTTTTACATAAAATGATCGATTATGGCATAACATGGCCTTTTATCACTTTTAATATTAACCCTATTCTGTGGAATGCGATGTCGTGTGGGTGACCGCTCAATACAGGTTTGATTGTACATAAATACACTCATTTTCAAAACGTTGCAATTGAAAAATTCCAAGAAATAAATACACTTTTATTTCAAGAAAAAGGTGACAACAGAATAAATTATAAGGATAAAGGAACAGCACAATAGCTGATGTCAAGTCTTTGTTTCATCTTCGCACTATAAAAAAGTTGTGTTTTTCTCGATGTGAAATATACATGTATCATGCATCTCCTTTTTGATAGGAAAAGATTATTTTCAAACTGCAAACAGGTGTATTTATATCTACATGTATAAATTCACCAAAACACACCAAGTCAATATCCAAGAAAAAACCTTATCAAAATTAAAATTTCCCACAAAGAGAGATTTGCATCCCATCCTAGAAGAGGGTGGTGGCTGGGCTGCATGCGAGCGCTATACTTGTAGTTAAGCCCCCTGCATTTTCTTCAGCCAGGCTGGCTTGAAGGTGGACATTGAAAACCCAGTCTCCAAGTTTTTGCAGCCCCTCCTAAGCCTCCTGATTTGGACTTTCAACCACCTTCCAACCAAAGGGTGTTCACGCACAAGATAACATAAATTGGCCACCATAAAGAGCTAAAAAGCTGACGTATTGAAAAGCCAGCTTTGTAACTCTTTACGGTGGCTAACTTACGTTATCAACTCACTTGAAAATACTAAATAACCCTACTTTTTACTTGAGTTTTGTAGTGCACACGAATCCAAATAAATGGGATTTCCGAGGTACGCATTCGATCGCACGTGCGCATTACTTACTCTGTTTCCCCTCTACCTACGTAATTGCTATTCATACCCTGCCCTATTTTGGTCTTACAATTAAAATTTTCCGGCCTGATGAGTTACTGTTATTACTACTGTTTTTTTATAGGTATGGGCTACGCTGCGCTCTGCTATTGAATCAATGAAATTAATTAATTCAATTTTAAACAAATACCTTACGTTTTAACTTTCTGAGTTACTTTTTGTGAAGGCTTGAAATTAATTACAAACGGTTTTTAGGCCGCGAGTCAACCCATTTAATGACACAATTTTTCTACCAAAAATTCATTTCTAAACCAATATTCTGCTGGCATTGAAAGCAATTTAGGAGAGAGAGGGAAAAGAGAGGATTATAAGTTATTTATCGGCTTGAAGTCGTGACCCACATCTTTGCTTAAAAATAATGCCCAGCTTGTTTGGATCGTTCAGTGCGACCAATGTTGCTGCGTATTTTTGCCTTGTTCTAAAGTGTAATACGGTGGCATATTTTTCCTCTTCTCATAATTTCATTTAGTAAAATGAAACAGTGGAGGCATGATAAAGCTCATAAATATTCTGATTGATATGAAGTATCACCAATTATTTGTTCAGTTGCTTATTGCATTAGTATTTATTCTTAGACCCGCCCACAATTCAAAATGTCACTACGTCATCTAAGAAGTCTTGGATTGGCCAGACAGTGACCTTGAAATGTCTTTCTGATGGTGTTCCTACACCAACACTCTATTGGTACAAACCTGAAGGAAGTGAAATAAACAGAGTCACAGCCAGAGAAAACAAAGTACAAGTGCTATTCAGGGATGATCAAGATTTTGGTCATTACAAGTGCATTGCTGCTAATGGACTTATTCCATCTGATGAGAAATTAATAAAGATAAATCAGATAAGTAAGTAAAAAAGATCAGTGTATTTTGATAAGAAGAAAACTATATATAGGGTCTGCATCTTGCTCACTATCACTGTTTCAGGTGTAATAGATTGAAGTAAAAGCCAAATTTTCTTACAAAGTACTCGACAGGATAACTCATTCCCTTTGTACAAGTCATTCGATTATTTAAAGCATAATACGTGCGGATAATTTGCAAGGTCCATAAATGTGTTGAAAAATTTAAGCTTATGTTCAACCATCGAATAAGAGATTTATCATTCTACTATTTTTTCATTTTCTAACAATTTGGTCGTTGAGCGTCCCGTTCGCATTTTTCCCCTCTGTAGCAGCGTTAGACCTTCACATATTTTTCGCGTTCGTTACCCCAATGAGGCATACTGAAAGGCACCTTTTTGACATCCTCTCATGCGTGTATCCACAGGAAACTTCCTCCACCATGGACTCTTAATTGTTCCTCTTTTTATTAGGCTCTTGGTTAAATTTATCTGGTAGCTACATGTACATTAAATTGTGATAATACAATGACATACTGTATGATAATCACCCAAAAAATTTCTCCTTCCTTCTTTTTTGGCAAAATCATTTTTTTATGGCACTATGTAGAGAAACCAGGGAAAGCATCCATCAAATCATCAGAATCAGTAATTCAAGCAACTTTTATAACAATAAGATGGACTGCACCAGCTGATGATGGAGGAAGTCCGATTACAGGATACCGAATGATCTTACAAAAGGGTGAAACTGAGATAGAAAAGGATGATATCACCGATCCTGGGACGACAAGTTACTCGTTTCGTGGTTTGGAGAAAAATACCAACTACACGGTGAAACTGTTTTCCAGAAATTTTGTATTCGAGGGAGACCCTATTGTAAGGACAATTAAGACCAAGTTTGAAGGTGAGGAATCACAAGTGATTTCGTTACTGAGCACTTTACACCAATCATTTTGCTGCAAACTTAGATTTGTCCCAGTTTTAACAATTTTCTCTGCTTGCCGCATGATAAGATTTTTTATTTTAAGTGTTTGTCTCCTCCTTAAGCATAATAATAAACAAACCATAGGTAAACATGAGTGAGAACAGTAGACAACCTACGCGGGTACATTCTGTAAATGCTACCTGTTTTATCAAGTATTGTTTGCCTTTTACCATGCCATGTTACGGCTGAGCAGTCGTAACATGGCTGCGAAGTTCCTCGCACCTGTTATTGCTTTAGCTCTTCTTGTCATCGCCTCCTCAGTTGGCAAACTCCCTGGAGAAAAAAGCTTGTTGTCTCAACGGAAAATCCCGTGTCAGCTTATGTTTGGAGAAAAAAGAGCCGTAGCCCTAGACAATCAGATGGCTCCGGAAGCGGAGCATGTGCACTCAGTTTTACGCTGTGTCATTGCCGAGTGCCTCTACTAAGTCATGCGCAATGTCAAACTTTCAAAAGTAGAAAATAGGTGCACGTAAATTGAGTTCCTTCCTGTAATTACGTGCCACAAATGAATGGCGAATTGTCCTTTCAAGCTATTTTGAATTCATCTCAGTACTTAACATAATTTCGCTTGATATACGCTTTTGTTTTAAAAATATCCCAAAATAATCCTCGAACAATTTACAGATTATTTAATCACTGATAATGGTTGTGACCAGGTTTGTAACAAGAAGTTGTATAATTATTAGAAATTCCACGCTGTTCGTGTTGTTGAAATCAATCTAGGAGTCCCAGATGTGGTCGAAATAGACGAACTACCAGGTGAAACAACAGACGATACAATTACCCTAAAGTGGAAGGAGCCAGAAAGTAATGGAAAAGTTATTACCATGTATACAGTGTATCAAAGAGTAGTGATTGATGGGAAAGTGGGACAGTGGACAGAAATAAAGAAAATCAGAGATGTTTCTGTGAGAGAATTGAAAATAGTGTTGGAGAGAGGAAAGGTGTATCAGTTTGCCATTACTGCAACTAATGAGCTTGGTGAAAGCCTGAAACAAGAGAAAGCAAATATTCAGCAAGTCAAGGCAGAAGGAAGTATGTTTAAATGAATCTTATTTTCCTCTTTTAAAGGTTTATCCTTTTCTTTTCCTAGTTTTCATGCCCTCTCCGTCTCATCAATATCGAGGTTTTTACGGGTGAATTCTTAGCTTACATAAACCTGAATCAATGTAAAAAGTTCACTTAAGTCGTGGTTGATATTTGTGCGCCAACCAGAGGCCTATTAGCTGAAGTACGAGAAGTTGTTTTTCAGGGTGTTTTATTACTACATTTCAGTTAACAAGTTAATTAAGTGATAATAATTAAACGGCAGCAGTTACACTCACAGCCGATGGCTATATGAATGATATCAAATTCAGAAATTACAGTCCTATACGGGACTTATTTATAATGACAGGGAAGCGACCCTTGACATGCAAACGCATTACAAAGAGACAAAGCCATCCTTCAGGCGTATATAGGGGGGCTGGATTCTGGGGTCGCTACGTTGATCACTGTATCAACACTACTTTTTCCATCAGAGAGGAACTCTATTGTTTTTAACCACTGTCAGTTACTTTCAGTGAGCTCTAAAATAAAGTTTTTTATCCCCACAGACGGCTTGGAAAGTACGACAAAAGGTAAGAATAACAAAGAAATTGTTAAATATATTAAAGTTCACAAAGCAACCAGGCGCATAATCAGACATGGTTTAGTGCTACTCTGGTTTTTAAAGATTTAATGAATGAAGTTACAACCAGTAATACTCCTGATGAGAAGGAACCAGCGACTTACTTTGCTGTTATTCCTCGCATTCAGGGTGTTACGGAACCCATCAAGAGAATTTTGAATGGCCCAAACGTTTATGGTTATCAAAAACCTTTTCAGACCTAAGGGCATATTTTTGCCAAACCTAAGGATCCAATCACAAATGAACAACTAACAGACGCTTTTTATTCTATTCCGTGCAATGGCTGTGATCATGAGTATATGGGACTGACCAAACGTCACTTTGGTATACGTTTGAAAGAGGATCAATCTTGAAAGAGGATCATCCTTTTTATTGAGAAAGAAAATTCAGCTTTGTCGGAGCACACATGCCTAACTAACCATACAACTGGGTGGGATAATTTCAAAATTATCACCACTTATCGATGTTACCACCAGCGTTCTTGTTTGGAAGCCTGGCATAGCAACTCTGCCCACGCTCCTTGTGATGGTGGCGGCTTACTGCCTGACACATATTTACACCTCGCCAGAAAAAAGGGCAGCCAATTAGTGAGCGTGTAAAAGGACCTCTTTGTGCAACGAGTAGATCACCCATGATGAAGGCGGTGAGACAGGAGTGTTGACAACGTTGGGTCTATGAACTGTAACTTCTCGGTTACTTTCAGTCCACTTTACAGTTGCATGCTTGGTTGCCAAGCCTTTGAACAGGATTGAGGCTGAAGGTGACCTTGTTATGATACAAACCTTGCAGCTTTTCAAGTGTAAATGACTTTGTTATCATGCTAACTAGATACTGGTCTCTATCATTACATGGTCAACTTCAGCCTCACTCCAAATCAAAGGCTTGGCAACCAAGTACACAACTGTAAAATGGCCTGTTCATTAAATCTTTTAACCAGAGTAGCATCAAAACATGTCAAAGTGTTAAATTTTTACACGTATTCTTCCGAAAACGGCCTTTTTCTAATTGTATTCTGTATCTGTGCAATTAAACAACTCATTTCTGTGAGTGATGTATTTCTACGGTTTTGTTTTTGTCGTTGTTGTTTCTAGTCAATTGAACAAAATATTACTTTTAGAAATTATTATAGAAAGATTAGCACCTTACTTTTCTTTAGTACCTCGCCAATGAGAGTTAGACTTTTGGTCATTAGCCTAAGCTATGTAGTGAGAGCAGTTTATCGACCAGGATCAGTGCAAATGTTGTTTGAACGTTACTTGATCAAGCTTTGTAAAATTAATCATTTTAGGTCCTGAGGAATGTAACTTCCCATCTAACAACGTCTTGTTAGCCATAATTGGGGTTCTTGCCTTCACAATCCTTCTTCTAATTGTTTACATAATCTGGCTACACAGGAAAGGTAAGTAAAAAAAATCATAATCTGTGTTAGAGGGTTTGGCTGAAAGATTCATTTTTATACAAAAGCAAACTTTGACCCACGTCCACATCATTTGTCTTTTTTTCCTTTCGTTCTTTTTCAGTCGCTGTAGGGAAACAGAGGTACGAATTTGCTGCCACTTGGATTGTGTCGATGTAATGTGCCAGATATGGTTTCATCTTGACACAAAATTCCACTTAAAGCTGATGAAATTCTCAGCTTTTTTTAAATATTCGTATGCTTTATCAATTGTAGGACTTATGAAGATGAAAGAGGTGTTTACGACGTAAGTAACAGCTAAGACATTGAGGTCATGTTAGTGTGGCCAGAAATTATGTGATTTCATATTACCTCTACTTTCTACAAGAAAATAAACGCTTGCAACAATAAGAAGGAAAAAAACGTGTAGGTCTACGAAAAAAAAGCATATTGCATCAGTAGAGGATACAATGAAATAGGGGAGGAAGTTAGATTCGATAAGGTCTTTGTCCTGTGTTCATGTCCTTGAACAAGGTACTCCAAGGATTTTCCTTGGGTTTTCCCTGGTTCAAGTGCGTGGCTTCACTTCATAGATCGATAACTGGTCTGCACCTTGTTGATATTTGCTTTTTAAATAATTGTTTTTTCGAATTTTTGGCCGTCTTATTTTCTGGATACCTTTTTTTTACCAAACGTAATTCTAAGAGCTGAGTACAACAGGAGTTTTTTTTGTGTGCGTGTATTTGTGAAAAAGTTTCACTACCAATCGACAATCTTCATGTTGCAGTTTCTAGCTTCGGCAAATATGCTATGAACCTCAATCACTTCATTGGATATGATGGTTTCAAAAGCAGAGGACAAATTGTTAGTAATAATAAGGATAATAGAGGTTAAAAAACTATTTGTAATCTTTTGCTGTGCAAGAATGTAAAGGTTTCTGTGATGAAATTGGGTAAACTGATTTTTATAACTATGTGGAACTTTTTTCTGGGATTAATAACAGATTTGTATGTGAATACCTTAATGGCATGTTGGTTTAATAGAATGAAACAGGATTAGAAGATATCGAACCAAGTCTACCCGATTCAAGAAAATTCACTCAGCCTCCTGCGGAATACATGGATCTCATAGAAGTGAATAAAGATAATATAAAAGCACAAAGAACAGCTCCAGGTGCTGATTATGTGCCTCTTCATCCGTTAACACGCTGCTGGGAAGTTCCAAGACATCACGTGACCATAGAAAAAATCATTGGTAAAGGTGCTTTTGGTCAGGTTGCCAAGGGAACAGCGGTAGGACTTCGAGGGAGTCCTGAAACGACCACAGTGGCTATTAAAATGCTGAAAAGTGAGCTTTTGTACCGTAAATTGAATGACAGTCTTGGCCTTCAGTAATTCAAGAAATTTTACCGAGTTACCGTATTTTTTAGCTATTTACCATTTCATGATTATAACGTATGTTATTGTTTCGGCATTTCGCATTACCTTCCCTCGAACCAAATTTTACTCCTTGTTTATTACGCTCTAGCAAACGCTGTTGAATCGGACAAGAGAGATTTGATGAAAGAACTTGACACAATGAAGCAGCTGAAACCACATCCTTACGTCATTAAACTTCTGGGATGTGTTACAAAATCTGGTATGCTTTGGTTATGCGGGTCTAATTTTATTGTGCACATTTTGTTTATGATTTACTCTGACATTTTTTCGTCATAAATAATTTGCTCCAATGGAGCGCAGCAAAAACCATCGCATGAGGTAATGTTATCTTTTTTTAACCGACATAGACGCTCCTGGATTTACTGATAGACTAAGACCAAATATTTGCCTCTGAACAAATCATTCTCTTGTGTAAGTAGAAACACGTTTTGGAAGAGGATATTTGGTCTTTACCCTCTTATTAGACCGTTAAATATTTTTTTCTCCTTCTCTTCGTAAAACTACATCTTATTTTCGTGCGATTTCTTCAAAAGTATTGACCACGACTGGGCTATTCATTTATTGTATTTATTGCTAATTTTTTTAGAGGGTAATGTATCAATTAAAGCGCTGATTTTTTTTCCAGAACAGCTTTTGGTTTTGATTGAATATGTGCCTTTTGGGGATCTGCTGGGTTACCTGAGGAAGAGCCGTGGATTAAAAGACACTTACTACAAAGACCCGGATATCAAACCACAAACAAATCTGACGTCACAGCAGCTGATGAAGTTTGCTTGGCAAATTGCAGATGGAATGAGTTACTTGTCCTCAAAATCTGTAAGTTAATTGCAAAAAAAACACAAATGACAAACAATTCTAAAGCCTTCTTGTAAGTTGTATCGTCATATTAAGCTTTGTCTTGCATAGAATGTTATGTCTCACAAGATCACGCCCGGGAGATGCAAACGTACTCTTACCGTGTTGTTGACGCTATTTTTTTTAGAGCCGGGAACCCTCACAATTTTGAAGTCATCGCCTAAGTTTTATTTCAATGTGCGAATGGCGATATTTGTGCATCGTTGCAAATGCGCCCCATTGAAATAAAGTACCTGTGTTTTTCTCGTGTATGCAGAGGCAGAGACGTGAATGGATAGGATCTTTTAAGATATTCAGCCCAAACTAAGTGTTCAACAAATATCCATTTTAGTGACAAGAAAGAGAAGGAATTAAAACTTGAAATTAAAAAATTCGTCTTTGATCACTAAACTGCCACATTATAGAATCCTATTTAGATTAAAAACTTAAGATAGGCGTTCTATGAAATAACTACGAATTGCACAAATAAAGTAGTTTGCTTCTCTTTGGAATATGAGGCAGTAATTATAGTGAATTTAATTCTCTGCCCTCTGGAAGAAAGAGAAATACGCACACCATATTATGTTGCTAGACGTTTCTATTTTCCTACCTGAACCATTTCATATCAGTTCTTTTTCTTCTACAATCGCTAATTTTTGCTGTTACATCAATTCTTTCTTAGATCATTCACCGAGACCTTGCGGCCCGTAATGTGTTGGTTGGACAAAAGGAAACTTGTAAAGTGACCGACTTCGGAATGGCCAGAGATGTGCAGCAGGAAAATATTTATGAACGAAAGACTAAGGTAATCAAGAAAGAGGGGAGGGAGGTGGGGACGGTACTACATGTGGTTCAGTTTAGTGATCTTTCAGGATCGTTGTTGTGGTAAAACTGATATATTCCTGATTTTGATCATGAATTCCTTGGATGGGAACCGAATGAAAAAATTAGCAATGCGTATACGAGTACAACTTTACATATCACTATCTTTGACTAGTCGCTTCCTATGATTTTTGAGCTGTTTCACAAATTGATATTTAAAATCTTTAGGGCCGTCTTCCCGTGAAGTGGACAGCTTATGAGGCCTTGTTGTATGGTAAATATACCACCAAAAGTGACGTGTAAGTATACCCGATTATTACCCCTAGCAATTTTCCAACAAGTTTTATCAGGTTTAATCAGGACATGAATTCTATGCTTTGTCAAAGGATACACATATTTTAGTTGTCGCATATAATGTTAATGTCCTCAGTCACCTAATTTATATTTATTTGATTTGTAATTCCACAGATGGAGTTATGGAGTCTTGCTGTACGAGATTTTCACCATAGGTATTATCGAATAGAAGTTTATGACGATACGTTTGGTTTCTTTTTTTTTTTTTTTTTGCTGCGTATTTACAAGGTATCGCGTTCAGTTAGACAAACGTAAAGAGCTTCCCCATGCAACCTCAAACTCCATCAAGTGACACTGGTCGTGTTTCAGTGACGGTCTGTTTTTCGTCACATTTATATTTCGATGGTCTTATGGTTCTTCCAGGCGGTTCACCATACCCACGAATGGATGGAAGAAAAATTGCAAACTTACTTCAGGATGGATACAGGATGCCTAAACCACAACACGTCGATGAAAAATTGTAAGTTTTCTTTGTTCACTCGTTCTCCCTCATCGTATGAGGAAACATTCTTTAAATCTTTAACAGATCATTTGAACATTACCAGGTATCAGATCATGATGAAATGCTGGAAGAATGACCCAGATGCAAGACCAACTTTCACTGAATTGAAAAATCAGCTTAAGGACATGGAAACCCTACACAAGGTGAGAATTTTGATCAACATGAAAGTTTTTTTTTCACGAAGGACCGACTGGCTTAGGCTCAGCTAATTAGGATTAAGCTTAACAGTATTGAGCCTAGATAGCGTAGTAATTTGTACCCATCTCTGTAATTTTAACGAAGTTTGGATCGCATCTTCTTGTTATGTCACTGAAGCAAAGAAGCGAACTAGAACGTCTCAATGACAATTGACACGTGGTTATTTAAAAGATCATAGGATGAGACGCACAAAGATTAGCAAACGACGAAGCCATAAAACACTTTCTCCTTCAATTTGTTTTGACGTAAAAAAAGCTGACGACTTTTGAGAATAACCTCTTTTCAAGAGGAACACTTTTTTACTGATACTGATTACTATATTATTTTTCTTTGCAGAAGCTGATCAACATGACAATGTACGACAAGCAGTTGTATGCAAACGTCGAGGATTTAATGGTGTAGTTAGATACACGTCCACAATGTATGACTGGCTAACATTTTGAACACTTCGCCCAGACAAGTTTCATGGATTAATTATCTTTTCCTTACACGCTTACTAGGTAGAAATAGCCATGTTTGTTAAGCAGTAAGACTGGAACGTTGTAATTCAATTGACTTTATATTCTTAAACGCTGAAACGCTTTTCTAAGTTTTGCCGATAAATTATTCTCTCATTTTCTTTTTAACATATTAAGCACGTACGCGTATGCTTGACACAAACGTTTGAGTTGAGTTTATTTTCTGGCCTATTCTAAAAGGCAGGACAGTGCGGAGAAAAAAAATGCAATTTACCAGATTGATGAGCTCTCGCTTTGCTAAAAACATTTTGCCGTAAAACCCACTTGTTTGCAGGAAAGCTAATCGTGCGCATAAATTTCTTTCCCTAAGAGCGCCTTTACCTGCTATACCAGTTCGAAATACTTTTACATTGAAGTTATAGGTAAAACTAACGGTATTCTAATCAAAATTATACGTAACACATTAATTCTGTTAGAAAGTTTGTTGTTTGGCCTAATAGCCCTACAGTTTTTTGCGTACCAGATACTATTACTCAACGAAACTGGTCTTAGATACGTGTTCAAGCCTTTTTTTTTCTTGGATACGTTGTTAATGTGATAACTTTTTTTTTTTGATAATAAAAGTGTTGAAAAGTTCGGAGTTGACTCTTGTCTGCCTGGTGATGCCAAACACAAGTTTACATCTTTCACTCCCTGACAATAATCTATTATATCGTGATCCATCTCTCTAGATCTCTTTTTCGAAAGATGACAAAACCAAACCAGCGTTACTTGGGCAAAAAAGAGCTCCTGGAAGTGCAAAAACTCGCTTTCTTTTACATGTTTCAGGAGACTTACATCCAAGAGACCATGTTCTCGTGTCACTTCCATCAGAGGTTAAGAGTCGATCAATCTTACATAATTATAAACTAAGTTACCTTTTGGTCAAAACCCTTTCCTCAGCTGATATAAATAATTGCACTAGAAACAGTACCTAATGAAAAACAACGCTCTTTCAGTCTGGAGCAGAGGTTGCTTGAGAAATGGTCTTCACGTTCAAAAGAAGGAGAATTACGTTATTTTGCTTTTGGGAGCAAAATGATGCTCCAGCATACAGAGGAGAGAGGGGGGTCGTCTTAGCTCTGCAAAATGAATTCTCTGATATTTTTATGTCATTTTTTTAAAGGTGTTTACTGATATTTCTGCAAATGTTAAACTTTGTCAAATACAAGGTGTGGTTTGACTAAAAGAACCCACATTTTAAGATTTAAAGTTTTTGGAAGAGCAGAAATGGTGGTTGAAAGGAAGAATGAGTAAATCTTTTGACGCAAAGATTGTGTCATTGGTGAGCTAGGTTGCAGTCTGTAGTGGGATTAAGTAAGTTTACAAAGGATAGTTACTGTACTGCCCTTAGGAGTCGCTCCTTGGTGAGAATATTACACTTTGTCTGAAAAGGTAGTTGAGTTTGTAGGAGTATCATGAGAGTTATTTCTGCCGGTTAAATCATACCTTAACAGCTGTGTTCAGCAGTGAACAATTGGTACTCTCTCGCAAAATATGCAATTACAATGAGAACCCTAGAGAGGGTCTCCATCCTCTTCTCTTGCACTTCGCTAGGGGTGTCACTTAACTTCCGAGATTTAAACACAAAACACAAAAAACGAACACAAAAACTTCTTTACACTGCTAATCTAAATATTTTTAGCTTTATAAGTGAACAACAGCTGAACGTTTTTTAAGGTTTACCTTTTGTCGTGAATGCCACTGGTCACCCACATGTCGAGGAGTTCACAAACTTCTTGAAAACTTATATATATATTTAGGTATATGGGTCTGGGTCGGGTCGCGTATTGCTTCGCTGCCACTATCGCGCAGCTCATTTATTTCCTTCAGTTTTACCAACTGAACGCCAAGAACCGGCTAATGACTCCAAGTCTCTGCAATTTTTTAATTTAGTGGTCTTGCTTAAAAAATGGACGTAAGCCGTAATCGAAGAACCAATCTCGTTCGTACTATATTATGTGCACTATATTTAACAATTGTTCCATGAGCGCGCACTTGATATGGGTTGGGTATACTAATCTCGTATCCAACCAGAGCCAATGGAATTGTTGAGTTATTAAATATCTCACTTTTTTAAAATGCTGTCGGAGCTTACTAAGTTTGTTTTAACTCTCAATTTTTTTTCAAATAAAAGCCACCAGAAGTCAATGTCGCATCCGGTCGTCAAAACGGCAAAATTTGAAACACATAAGCAACGTTTAAGTGACGTCCGAAGCTGAATTAAAATTCAACGCTAAGCAATTTACTCAGCCGGACACAAAATACAGTAATCTCCGATCCAAGACACGTTAAAGGGTACGACATACAATACTTACGAGACAAGCATTCAGGTGTGTTCGAGTTCCATCAACAAGCGAAAAATATAAATTTTGTCTCCACTACACAACAAATAACACAGTAGTGTACACCAAATAAGTTTATTTAGGGAAGCCTGCCGAGAATCAACCCGAGGCATATATAGCCCGGGGAATGCATACATACATATATTCGCAACTGATTACCATTACTTGTTTTGTTTCACTGGAACGGAGCAAAGCTTGTAGTCGAGGATAGCTTTAGTTTTAATATTCTGACCTTAATTCCTCGCTCCGAGTGTACGAGTTAACAGTTACGACCCTACTGAGACAAACATTCGATAAAATCAATAAAAGGTCATGCCTATCCTAAAGTTTTGTGCACAGTTACAAATGTTTTGCTGCATGGTAGCGAACGGAGTTAGTGCGAACTCCTTAAGTGAAACTTCAAAGGTAAGTACCGTTCAATAAGGTTGCATTGTACGTTTTGACTTTTATCTTTTGTTACCGATATAACGTTGAGTAGCATTTGCTCTAGTTCATTTCTAATGTACAGAAGAAAGTGATCGCCTTACTTGCTGAGCTATACTTGAATAAATCTGAAACGGTGGAGGTCTCGGTAGGGGCGAGTCGGATGTCTCGATCGTGCTCCTTAATTCTGTCTTGCATAGGTCTTCCAGTCTCTCCGATGTACACCATGCCACATTCACAAGGAATCCTGTATGGCTTAGTTTTCAGGATTCCCCGTTTCAAAGGATGCCCACAACACCGGACACAAGCCACTCTGGAACGAAGTAAAGTTTATTGATCGTTACCCTTATTACTATACGCGCAGGGTCAAAGAGGCAATTCATATAAGACTTAACCCTGACAACATCAACAGGGAAAGTGGAATAGAAATTCCAGAAGCGTGGATGCCCACGATCAAAAAACACAACAACAGGAGAGCCTTGCGACAACGGACCGCCGAGGGAGCAAATCACTGAATGAATGAGCAAGGATCGAAATGCACTAATCAGAGCTGTTGAAAAACAACTAATCACAGCAGACCATCATGCTTTATAGGACCACGCACGACCAGTCGACCTATCGCCAGAAAAAGACTAGCAGTATGCAGTCGAAACGTTGCGATCTACATCACACGTGACTACATTGTGAGAGAAACGAAAACTTAGCTTTTATTGCTATTCACCACGACGAATAATCACAACCTTTACACAATACAAAGGTTTTCTACATTCTACCAATGTAATGTGAATACCTAACCCTATCAGGAAACCTAAGTAACCAAAGGAGGGAAGAAAAGAGGGGGGGGGGGTTTGGGGGTTGGAGGTGGGAGGTGAATGAGATAAAAAAAACACTCCATCTTCCATACAGTTAAAGGCGACTGATACCTCTCCCTTCCACCTTAAGAGCATGCGATCCCTCTCCCCCTCCCCGAAAAAATGTTTGAAAGAGCGTTGCGTGTCTATAGACAGCATTAGCTGCAGAGACGCTCAACTCTATGTATTTAAAAAAATATGTTTATCAAGAATTTGATCAAATCCTAACCCAAACTCAAAGGCTACACGAAGCGGAAAAATACTTTTAATGAATAAAGAGGATAAGTTTCTAACGAAACTGTGTTGCTGCGCCGGTGGGAGAGAATAACAGACATGGATACCTAAATTGGACCCACCTACGCCAGTCGTTTCGTAAGATTTATCGAACACCAATTTTTCAGTCAATACATCGGCTCCAAACCTGAACACTACGGTCGCTACATAAACCACTGTATTGGCGCCATCTCCTCTACCAGAGATGAGCTGACCCAATTAATAATTCCTTTCGCCCGGCCCTGAAATATACCTGGGAAATTTCTGACACTTCTTTGGCTTTTCTAGCCATCAAACTTTCAATTGAAGGCAACGGTCTATCCAGTAGGGTTTACTTTAAAGCTACCGACTCACATAGCTGCTTGTTGTATTTATCTTCGCGTCCATTACACGTCAAGAATTCCATTCCTTTTTCGCAGTTTCTCAGACTTCGTCGTTTGTCTTGTGACGACTGTGATTTTCCGACATATCAGATGCAATGTGCCAGTTTTTCGTTAAACGTGGCTTCGAAACAGAAAGACTGGGACGAGGGTATGAGATATCTGAAGAATCACATTCGTCGCTACACAGACCTCTTAAGTTTCTTAAAGGGAGTTATTATCTAACAGTCCAGTCTGTTAATCTTTTGCAGTTTGTCTCAGATTTCGCACTAAGCTTTTTAGAGCATGTCAGTGAACTTAAACTAATCTTAGTTCGACTCAGAAATCTATGAAAGAGAGGTGTGATGTAGATGCTGAAGAACTTAACTCGGCGAAAAGGTTCATGCGTTGTTTCCGGTGCCCAGTAACAAGCTTCATTCTAGATTTGTTGGACCTTATCTCACTGAGAAGTTAAATGACCTTAATTATATAATGGTCACTCCAGATGGGCGTAAATAGGCACAGTTATGTCACATTCATATGTTACAGCCTTATGTAGAGAGAAGCGATAATCTAGATGAAGAGCCTGCACAGTTTAATGTACTTTTTTTCTGAGACCTGGTT